TAGCCATGTGCAGAAAGCAGAAACTGGACCCCTTCCTAACACCTTACACTAAAATTAACTCCAGATGGATTAAAGACTTAAACATAAGACCTGGCACCATAAAAACCCTAGAAGGAAATCTAGGCAAAACCATCCAGGACATAGGAGTAGGCAAGGACTTCATGAACAAAACACCAAAAGCATTGGCAACAAAAGCCAAAATAGACAAATGGGACCTAATCAAACTCCACAGCTTCTGCACGGCAAAAGAAACAGTCACTAGAGTGAATCAGCAACCAACAGAATGGGAAAAAATGTTTGCAGTTTACCCATCTGACAAAGGGCTGATATCCAGAATTTACAAAGAACTCAAACAGATTTACAAGAAAAAAACAAGCCCATTCAAAATTGGGCAAAGGATATGAACAGACACTTTACGAAAGAAGACATATATGAGGCCAACAATCATATGAAAAAATGCTCATCATCACCGGTCATCAGAGAGATGCAAATCAAAACCACATTGAGATACCATCTCACGCCAGTTAGAATGGAGATCATTAAGAAATCTGGAGACAACAGATGCTGGAGAGGATGTGGAGAAAAAGGAACACTTTTACACTGTTGGTGGGAGTGTAAATTAGTCCAACCATTGTGGAAGACAGTGTGGTGATTCCTCAAGGCGTTAGAAATAGAAATTCCATTTGACCCAGCAATCCCATTACTGGGTATATACCCAAAGGACTATAAATTTTTCTACTATAAGGACACATGCACACGAATGTTCATTGCAGCACTGTTTACAATAGCAAAGACCTGGAATCAACCCAAATGCCCATTGATGATAGACTGGATTGGGAAAATGTGGCACATATACACCATGGAATATTATCCAGCAATCAGAAATGATGAGTTCGTGTCGTTTGTAGGGACATGGATGAATCTGGAGAACATCATTCTCAGCAAACTGACACAAGAACAGAAAATGAAACACCGCATATTCTCACTCATAGGCGGGTGATGAAGAATGAGAACACATGGACACAGACAGGGGAGTACTAAACACTGGGGTCTATTGGGGGGAAAAAGGGAGGGCCAGTGGGAGGGGGAGGTGGGGAGGGATAGCCTGGGGAGAAATGCCAAATATGGGTGAAGGGGTGAAAGCAAACAGAACACACTGCCATGTGTGTACCTATGCAACTGTATTGCATGCTCTGCACATGTACCCCAAAACCTAAAATGCAATAAAAAAATAAGAAAAAAAAAAGAAATTTTTCTCAACAAAGACAGGTTTGCTTTATGATTCTTTTAAACCTAAATACCATCTTATCAATAGTTGCTATGCAACATAAAACCTGAGTAATTCATAAGAATAAGCTTTAACCGTAGAGTTAGTGAAAGTGAATGGAAATCTTTTAGTGAGTATGTATGACCATTTTCCATGAGTAGTTAATGAAACAGTGTTAGAAACAAGTTTAACTTGTCTAAATCAGTAGATTTAAATTCCAGTTATTAATCTAGCTATTACTGTTTTGTCAAAATGGTGGAAATCTCAGATCCTAAAAGAAAATTCTATGTCTCAAATTCTTACCCAAATAGATACCTTAGGCGGGGGGTTTCTATGCCCTTAATCATGTAAAAGGTACTATAAAATTATTTTCAATATAGCAGGTGAAATAAAACGTGAAGCAAAATACTTTAAAATAAGGAAACCATTCTTAATATTGTATTCTCTAGGGAGGTACTATTATTATAGTTATTTACAAATGAGGAAACTGGGTCTCAGAGGGATTAATTTGGCTAAGATAAAAAAAAGCTGAGTAGTAGAACTTAGCTTTGAACTCTAGAAGTTCAATCCCCCATCCCTCATTATCATATATGATTATTTTTTATTGTACTTTAGATTCTGGGGTACATGTGCAGATCATGCAAGATTGTTACATAGGTACATTCATGGCAAGGTGGTTTGCTGCCTCCATTCCCCATCACCTACACCCGACATTTCTCCCCACGTTATCCCTCCCCATCCTCTCTCCCACTATCCGTCCCCTAGCCCCCCGCCATGGACCCCAGTGTGTGATGCTCCCTTCTCTGTGTCCACGTGTTGTCATTGTTCAACACCAGCCTATGAGTGAGAACATGTGCTGTTTGATTTTCTGTTCTTGTGTCAGTTTGCTGAGAATGATGGTTTCCAGTGTCCCTCTGTATATATCAAAATATGTACCCCATGAATATGTAAAATTATTTATTAATAAAAAATAAAATATTGAAAAAAAATGAAGGGTTTATTTATTAAAAGAGTGCTAACTCATTTGGAAACAATTACAATCATAGAAGAACCAGCTTGGTTAAGAGAAGAAGACATCTGACCAGAATGGAAGTAAAATTATTCAGTATTCTTTGTTCTGTATCTGGCTTGTTTTAATTAGCTTTCTGTCCTACGAGTTCAAAGTTCATCCATGTTGTGGCAAATAGCACAATCTCTCTTTTTTTTTTTAAGGATGAATAATATCCCTGTGCGTTTATGTGTATGTGTGTTTCAACATTTTTTATCCATCCCTTGATATACACTTAGGTTGTTTCCACATTGTGCTGTTATCACCACAATGAACATGAGAGTGCAGATATCATTACGGTGGGTGCTTTTATTTCCTTTAAGTATCCATCCAGAAAAGGACTTTTTGGGTCATGTAGTAATTCTATTTTTAATTTCTATAGGAATCTTTATACTGTTTTTCACAGTTGGCTGCACCTGTCTGCATTCCCACCAACAATGCACAAAGACCCCCTTTTGTCCACATCCTTGTCAACACTTGTTATCTCTTGTCTTTTTGAAATAGTTATCCTAACAGGTGTGATGTGATATCTTATTGTGGTTTTGATTTGCATTTTCCTGATAGTGATGATGATTATCCTTTCACATACTTATTAATCATTTTTTTGTTTTCTTTGGAGAAATGTGTATTTATGTCTTCTGCCCATTTAAAAAATCAGATTATTTGTTTTTTTCTGCGATTGAGTTTTGTGAGTTCTTTATATATTTTGGATATTAACCGCTTATTAGATAATTGGTTTGCAAATATTTTATACCTATTTATAGGCTGTCTTTTTGTTGATTATTTTCTTTGCTGGGCAGAAGCTTTTTAGTTTGATGTAGTCCACTTACTTATTTTTGATTTTGTAGCCAGAGCTTTTAGTGTGATCTCCAAAACAATTTTTGTCAAGGCCAATGTCAAGGAGCTTTCTCCCTATATATTCTTCTAGTAATTTTAAAGTTTCAGGTCTCTTTTTTTTTTTTTTTTGAGGCAAGTATCACTCTGTCGCCCAGGCTGGAGTGGAGTGGCGTAATCTTGACTCACTGCAACCTCCACGTCCCAGGTTCAGGCAGTTCTCCTGCCTCAGTCTCCTGAGTAGCTGGGATTACAGGTGTGTACCACTATGCCCAGCTAAGTTTTGTATTTTTAGTAGAGAGGAGGTTTCACCATGTTGGTCAGGTTGGTCTCGAACTCCTGAACTCATGATCCACCCGCCTCAGCCTCCCAAAGTGCTGGGATTACAGGTGTGAACCACCACACCCGGCCAGTTTCCAGTCTTACATTGATGCCTTTTATGTGTATTTTGAGTGGGTTTGTGTGTATAGTGTAAGATATGGGTCTAATATCATTCTTTTGCATGTGATATCCGGTTTTCCCAGCTCCATTTGTTAAGAAAACTATAATTTTACTATTGTGCTTCTTTGTGTCCTTGCTGAAAATTAGTTGATTGCAGATGTTCAGTTTTATGTATGGTTTTTTTATTAGTCCGTGTGTCAGTTTTTAAAGAGCATGGACTTCAAAGCAAAACTTTGAGTTCAAATCTCAGCCTCACATGGGGAAAATTACATCATTTCTCTTTGTTTTCTAATAACAACAAGAATAATTATATGTAGTTCATGACTACATATTAAATGAGTAAATACATTTAATCAAATAGAAGATTGACTGGCAAATAATATGTACTTTATAACTGCTGATTGCTTATTGTTATCAGATATTATTACTGTTTGTATCATCACAACAATTCTTATAATACCTTATATAATAGGTGATAAAATTTTAAATTAATGATGTAAATTTTGCCTCTTCCACATATTTACTTTGTTTTTCAAGAAATTAATATCATTACTGATCATAGCAAATGAGGGCTAGCCATGTCATATTCCTTCCATGTCTCTATTCCAGATTCTCCATTTGAGTGAGAGAGTAGGTAAAAAACTGTAAATCACTCCTAATAATAGCACATCTGTTGGGCATTACAGCAAAAGATTAGATAGGTGACCAGTAAACATTTTGTAAGGGCTGAGTGATTTTTATTATTTTCTCGCATGATGTGTTAAATATAGATGAAACATGAAAGTGACCTGATTTTCTTTGCAATATTTAAGAAAACAATTCTGTCATATCCTTGGACTTTAAATATCATTAGTTTTTTTCAGACTGAAATACCTGAATTCTAGAAGCTTTCTGGTGTGTGATATGTGTGCGTGTATATTTGTGTGTGTGTGTGTGTGTGTGTGTGTGTTTGAACAGATTTGAAACTGTGGCTTCCAGTATGGAGAAATCTGGTCATGCATGTCTAGAGTCTCTGCCAACATCTATAGTTTCGCAATGTATCTGTGTTTGTAGTTGTGGACATTTGTAGCTTGCTTGTGCCCAGAATTAGCTCATAGGAATAATTTAGACCAACGTTAGCAATACATTTAGGCACTTAAATTTAATGCTAAATCTAGAGTTCCCATGGTTCTCAAGAGTCACTCTGTGGTCCCCTGGATTGGAACACTATGGCTTGGCTCTCCTCTGGTCCCACTGTCATCCTAGAGGAGAAATCTTTAGTGTCAGACCATGAACCAGTTTGAGGAGCTGATGAAACTATGAACTCTGCCTTCAGGTAAATTTGTGTACTCTAACTCACACTAAATTTGCCAAAGAATTTCAAGGTTTCAGAGATCCCTAAGCTACTTTACAAACTCTGCTCAAAGAATAAGTTGCAATCAGTTGGTTTTATTGTGCAAGAATCAAAATATTGAATGTGGCAAAATGTAAAATATAAGGAGAGAAGAGCGGAATCTGCGAACATCACGTTTTCTGTTGACTGAAGGCAGACAGATGGCTGAAGGAGAGTGTGAAGTAGTCATTTGGTTTCAGCAAGTCCTACAAAAATAAGGAGATTTTAGAAGTTTCTTCATAGTATGTTAACAGTTCTCATGATATATATTTATTTAGTGTTCATAATTTTGCTTTTATGTCTGTATCCAAGAAGTTAATCAGATTAAATATTTAAGATAGGCATATAGTAAACTCAAAATAATAGACATGTAATATTTATGAAAATAACTTGCTTTCCTATTGTCTTTATTAATTTTCTTATTTTGTTCTCCAAAATATAATAAGCCAACTGTTTAACCAGCTCTTATTATCTTTTTCTTAACAGACACTGTTGAACAGCAACTAAATAACACAATTTACACATATGCTAGTCTAAGGAAATCACAGGGTATTTTCCCTGTTTTTTGGCAAGTTAGATAAGCCACATAAAAATGGATGACATAGTAATTAAGCCCCACTACCTGAAATTAAACAAGTTTGGTTTGCCTCTCATTTTGCACTTTCTAGCTGTGATAATTGACTTAACATCTTCAGTCTTACTGGTTTTTAATTCCTAATTTTGAGAGAGGAACAATATCATATGGTTACTACGGGAATCAATAGACATAATTATGTATGGTCCTTACTTAGTGAAGACTTAGGATACTGGTTAAAAATAAATGTTAATATTTATTAATTTTATTTTATCTTTTCTAATACATGACATTTTACAGATTGATCAGTTTCAAAAAATATTCTTTCACATATGCATTCTCACTTGAGTCTCATAGCAACCAGAATTATGAGAAAATGAAAGTTCAGAGAAAGTAATGACCAGCCTACAGTCTTTAAGCAACAAGAGGAAAGAACAACCTTCTCTGGGCTAATGATAGTCCCATCATATCACAGACCATTGTCTGGTACTTTAAGTCATAAAACATGTGGACATCTTATGGATTAAAAATATTTGTTGCAAAGAAACTCAAAATTTTGTAACTTTCTCCTTAAATTGTTTTACACTCTTTGGATATTTTCTACTCTATTAATCCTTCTCTTTATTTAAAATCTTCTCATAAGTTTCAGATTATTTTAGACTCTGCCATGATCCATTGGTCTAAGTAATAAATAGTAACATTTAGCACCACATTCAGTGTTCTGAAAGCATCCTTTTAATATTTATGTTTTTTTTCAAGTTAAGCATTATAATTCTTCCATGGGTTTATCTTAAATAGGAGAAATTTGAGAGGCTTAACTTCAGGAATTATTTCAGAAATGATGTCTGAAATAAAGGAATGCATAGAAAATATATCATTTCCTTTGACTCTGTTCATACTACAGTGAGAGTGCAAGAGAATTGTTACAGAATTAAAATTTACTTAAACTCATATTCTATATAACTTTTTCTAAAAATTTTTTTTGAAATAAAAATCATGAAAGTGTTACTGTTTTGCTCTACTGTCATAGTTCATGTGTGAATAAGGATGAAATAAAACTATTACATTCTAGGAGTGTCCCAATTGTGAGAAAAATGTTTCTTAATAAAGTTGCCATTATTTTCATTTTGTCAAATAAAATTTCTTTAAATTTCTATTTGGAACAGACTCTGGAGTATCAATGCTATGGTTTTACCAAGGTAAAATTGTAAATACCCTGTTTTGCCTGGTTCTGTAACACACTCAGTTTATTCATTTGCACTATTTTTGAATTTATGGTTGTATTAATCAATCCATGCTTCTTGTCAGAATTACTCATTTTATCTATTGTTCATTTACCTGTGTTGTCTTCTTTGATATTTCCTTAGTGTCTTTATGCCGTAGGTGTAGTAACTGAGACTGTGGTTGTCTCAGGGGTGCTTGTGATGATGGACTCTGAGGAGGCTTCTGGAGTGATTACCCTCTTCACCACTGTTACCGTGGTAGGAGTTGGTGTAGGCTCAACAGTAGTGATGGTATTGATGGTAGGGATGATTATTTTATCCTGAATTTTCTTTGGGGGGATGGCAATAAATGATGGATGTTGTTTTGGGTGACGTACCATGGTGGCTGGGTGAGTATTTGGCAAGTATTGCCACTGAGGAACTTGGGCATGTGGCCTAACTGGCTTTGGATAATATGGGCGAGACACATATGGACTATTAATTGCTATAGCTGGTCTATTTTGGTACCAATTGGTTCTATAATATGGATAGCTATTCGGCACATAATATATTGGGATATATGGAACTATTTTCTGATATAACTGTCTTTCATCATTCTCACGGCACTGCAAAAAGAATAAATTATGCAGAATATTATTATTATAGACACAAATGTGGAAATATCTTAAATCCACATTATTTGAAATAATATAGTATTTGCCATTGAGTAGGATATTAGAAGTAGGGAACCCAGCAACAATATTATTTTATAAGATGTTGATTTGTACATTGCCTTTGAACTTTATGATTTTCAATATTATAAAATATTATTTTGATAACATAAATATAATATTTGTTTCAAAAAAATTAGATGAGTTAATGTAAACCATATTGCCCTGAGCTTGGCATATATGGAAAGTGATCCTATATGTTGGATATTATAGGTACAACACATAGAAAAATCTCATTGAGGACTTTGACATGTTATGCACAAGTGCTATATGCAGACACACACAAAATGGTGCGCACACATATGTATTCTTACCACATATTTGTAATTAATCACACATTTTATTCATTTAAAAATTAGCCCAAGAGCACATTTGTTTTTTTCTAAACTAATTGTAGCAGAACGGTAGTATAATGTGATGTGGAGAGATTCCTGGATTTAGATTTCAGATTTTTTTTGGTTTAATTCTCTTCACAAGAGATTAGATAAATAATTTTCCATCTCTATGTGTCTGTTACTGTTTAACAATTTATCAGTAGACCTTTCCATATGAATAGAAACAAATCAACAAAATTATACTACAAAGCAAAGATTTCTCCTAAAAGGAGACATATTTAAATGTATTCAAACATATCTGGGAAACAAAAGGGGAAGTAAATATGGATGTATGAGAAGTATTCAAAGAGGGGTCAGAGAAGGATTCTTTCTTGTCTTAAAAAGTGGAAAGGGGAAATATTAAGCTTTAACTTATGTTTTCATTTTCTCCCAATATGAAATGCTAAAATAATTTTTCTTATATTGCTAAATATACATGAAAACCAAAGATACATGGCTTGGTTTACATAAGAAAACAAAACTTTCAGATAAACATCAATGTTGATTCATATCTCCTGTTGCTGAAATCATTTTTTTGCAAACATTATTAGGTTATTTTATGGAGATGAAATACTTAGGTTTTAGACAGAGGCATTTTTAATAGGATTGACCTTTGCAGAATATATTGTAGTTCATGCCTCTAATAGAAATAATTAAAATAGACTTACTGCTTGTTGTTCCTGGTTTTGAATCTCTGCAGCCTGGGGAGTTTCAGAAGAAGAAATAATGAAAAAACAAAACAAAAAAGAAAATATATTTTATCTTTTTGTGTTAGAGATAAAATATATTTTCTTTTTATTTTTTAAAACATTTTTCATAATTGATCTATGAGGCCTATGGACCACTCATGAAGCAACAGTAATCTAAGTGATCAGTAATAAAAAATGTTGTATTTAGATTGTCTTTAAATATCACCACCTAGAATGAAGAAGTCTTTGTTGGAAAAATCTAGTCATCTGACCCCCTTGCCAACAAATACACAATTTGCTTAAATATGAACAGTTTCTATTCAGTTTTTATTAAATATACATTGTTAAAAGTTAGAGGAGCATTGAGCCTTTTTTTCCTTCTCTGCTCTCATACTAAGATGATTCATAAGGTTTACTTAGAAGATTTAAAATATTGCCTCTTGCATAACCTTAACATACAAATAATAGTGTTTTTAAAACCATCTTTCTTTTGTTTTTTTTTTATAGTGCTTTTCTTAGTTTTGGATAGTAACATATTTAGAGAATCAGGAGTGAGAAAACAATTTTTATGGACATGTATTTATAAAACTCTAAAAACTCCAAAGCTTTTAGAAACTCTTGAAAGGAGGTATAATATTAAATATTTTTAAATTGACAGTTCTGGTTTAGGATATTTCACATATATTTCTTGGGTATAAAATGACTCTAGAAACCTTTTGGAAAGTGTGAGTACAGAAAATCAGAAATTAAGAAGGCAAGTCTTGCCTTTCTCTAAATATATTAAACCATTAGTTTAAAATATAAAGAAGTAATATGAGGCTGGGCTCAGTGGCTCACCCTATAATCCCAGCACTTTTGAGAGGTAGAGGTGGGCGGATCATCTGAGGTCATGGGTCCCAGACCAGCCTGGTCAACTTGGTGAAACCCTGCCTATATTAAAAATACAAAAATTAGCTGGGCATGGTGGTGCACGCCTGTAATCCCAGCTGCTCAGGAGACTGAGGCAGGAGAATTGCTTGAACCTGGGAGGTGGCGGTTGCAGTGACAAGAGAGCGCATCACTGCACTCCAGCCTGGGTGACAGAGCAAGACTCTGTCCCCTTTGCCTAAAAAAGAAGTAATATGAACATTACAGAATGTTTACTTCAAAAATTCTGACAATCTAGATATATTAATGTAATATCAACCTATGTCAGGTATTCCTGATATATGCTTGTCTAAAAAGTATCCTGCATTTTTATAAAAGTATGATATTTCATATTATTTTTTCATTTCTATCATAGGTTTCATACTTAGGTTTTTATAGTTGATAACTAAATAATCAATGATTATGTCATGAAATGTTTATTTCTTATCTATTTAAGATAAAATTTTAATTATAAAGAGAGAGTTGAATGACATCTATACACAAGTAGCCTTTTTAAATAATTTTCATTGCTTCCATAAAATGATTTTTCACAAATGAGATTTTTTTCAGGGATTCTTGAATAGAAATTATCAAATCATGTTACAGAATACTGCCAAATTATGCCACCAGTAGGCTTCATGTTTATGCAGTTCAGTGCATAATTGCTAGTAAAAATTTTATCTGACTATTTTTATTTTAGGGAAGGGATAAAAAAGCACATACAACATGGTATCACATTGATGTTTAAATTTGTATAATTTTGAATACTCATAAGATAGAATAATAAAATCTATGAACTTTTTTTTTTTTTTTTCTGTATTATTTGTTCCTGTCTTTGAGGCCTGCAGCCTTTGGGAAAATGGGAAGGAATGTTTGAGGCACAAATCTGGCTCAGGAGCTCAGGAAAGAAGTAGCTTGCAGCAGGGGGTTGTAGATCATTTTATGATTTAAACTTCAAGCCTGTTACTCAAAGAGAAAACCTAAATTGTAAATGTTCAGGTGGCCACAAAGTATTTGAGTTACAGAATTCAAAGTTGTTTTTTGAGACAGAGTTTCACTCTGTTGCCAGGCTGGAGTGCAGTGGCATGATCTTGGCTCTCTGCAACCTCTGCCTCCTGGGTTCAAGTGATTCTCCTGCCTCAGACTCCTGAGTAGCTGTGACTACAGGCACACAGTACCACACCCAGCTAATGTTTTTTTGTATTTTTAGTAGAGATAGGGTTTCACCATGTTGGCCAGGATGGTCTTGATCTCTTGACCTTGTGGTCTGCTTGCCTCGGCCTCCCAAAGCACTGGGATTACAGGCGTGAGGCATGGTGCCCGGCCAGAACTCAAAGTTTTAAAAGGTAATTTTGATTCCAAGAATTAAATTTATAGACATGTTATACACAAACACAACATGCAGATAATAGATTTAATTAACAGGTGTTAACTTAAAAGCAAGTCTAAACTTATAATAAATAAATATTATAGATATACACAGAACAAGAACTGGTGTGCTCCAATATTTGGTAATCTAGGAGGAGGACATATACTATTATTTATTCTTGCCTCCTTTGTCAGTACCTAGAATCCCCAGATGAACATGAAAATATAAAGAGGCGATAGCTATAACAACAATAAAAACAAGTCAAGAAATTAAAAAGAAAAGAAGCAGAACTTTTCTAGGTCCAGTAGCCTTAAAACTTTACATATAATTCAAGATAATGCCAGGGATCCCTGGAAAGGGATCAGTCAAATGACATATTGAGGAAGAGTATAACAAAATATATTATTTGAATATTAAAGACAGAAGTATCAAAGACTTTGAAACTTGTGAAAAAGCTTTACCAAAGTTGATCTTTGAAAAATTTTGTTTCCTAAAGACATTGGAGTCTGGGTGAGATAGGAACTTAATTAAAATAATTTCTGATCCCAGACTATGATTTCCATATTTGTTCTTTCTGAATTATCTTTAATGCATTTGCAGTTTTAAAATGTTTTCAGTATTGTTTTTCCCTCAGAAAGTATTTTCTCTATAGTATGAGAATTTAAAAAGTTTCCTATATACGATTAAGTGTGATTTCTTAATTCACAGAACAAAATGGATATCCAAAAGAATAATGATTTGGATTTCATAATAGAAATAAATGTTAAAAAAAAACCTTAAAAATGTAACAAATATGTAGATTTTTATTCTATGAAGTATAACTGTATTTAGAAATTTGTATAGTTAGAGCCCTTAAATAAAATTTTCTTAAAGTCAATAAAACTGGTTAGATGAAATTAACTTACCAAAAAAGGCAGGGATAATGCCAGGACATTCACAACTAGAAGAAAACTCTTCATTATTGCACCTAAAGATAAATTTTTAAAAAATTAATTTAAAAGAATTTGTTACTAGAAATTTAGGAGTGACTTGAATGCCGTATTTGCTTTGATTAAGAAAAAACGCCAGATTTACAGATAGATTTAGCTGAAGTGGAAAATTTATTTTAACAAACAGTGTAAAAACCCAGACTCGGAGCAGGGACATGGATGAAGCTGAAAACCATCATTCTCAGCAAACTGACACAAGAACAGAAAACCAAACACCGCATGTTCTCACTCACAAATGGCTGTTGAACAATGAGAACACATGGACACAGGGAGAGGAACATCACACACAGGGCTCTGTAGAGGGTGGGAAGGGGAGGTGGGGGTAGCAGGGGCTGAGGGAACTGGGGAGGGATAACATTAGGAGAAATATATAATGTAAATGACGGGGGGATGGATGCAGCAAACCATCAAGGCACATGTATACCGATGTAAGAAACCTGCATATTCTGCACATGTGCCCCAAAACTAAAAGTATAATTAAAAAATAAATAAATGAATTTTTTGAATTTAATTTTTGACAATATTAATGGAATTATCAAATTATTACTACATCAAATGTTGAGATTATCAAGGTGATACAGGCCTTTACAATAAGTAGCATCAATTTTAGAGGAGTGTTGAAACATATACAAATAACTGTAAGAGGAATAATAGTGGAAGATGCCACAAAAGTAGTTTTCTTCTAATAGAGAGTTTCAGTCAAGAGAAGCAGCAGTCTTTGCATGGGAAAATGACATATAGGTGAGGCTTGCCTATGCAGGGTTTAATAGGGAGGGAAATATTTCAAGTAGAGGAGAAAGTCTTGAGAACAGCCATGAACGTTTTGATTGGAATCTCGTATGAGAAGAAAATATAAGATTAGAAGGAAAGTTAAGAGCAGAAAAAGTAGACATCTTTAAGTTAATGACTGGTTGAAAAGCTAGGCATGGCTTTATAAGCAACAGAAAACAATTCAGTGTTTTCAGACTAGAAAGTGATATGACCATATATTTTTTGGAGGGCTGAGTTCTAGACCTGTGTAACTTTGATTAAGTGATTTCCCTTTCCTGGGCTTTACATTTTCTTACTTGTAAAAAATGTAAGAAACTTAGAGATTTCTAAAATTCGATAATTCTGTGATCAATACAATAGAAGTATGTAGGATGGAATGGCAAGTGGAAGGTTATGAAACTGTTCTCTTTGTATTTCTCCAGAAATCAGAACTGATATAATTAACTTTATTGTTTTAATAAGAAGTATAGTGATGACAATATGGTGGCTTCGACTAAAATATTTAAAGAAATAAATTAGCCTTATTTTTCTAAGAGTATATACAGTGTCATACCTGCTTATTTGATTTTTAATGAAGCATCATTTTAGACAATAATATATAATACCCCCAACTTTTTATATTTAAGTATATATTATATTTAGGAAGTAATTACTAACTTCAGCTTGTCGCAGCTATTATCATTCGCATACTCATATAAACTTGAATCACTGAACTTGAGCTTTACAAAAGAGATTTACAGAATTAAATCCTCAGGTAGGGGATAGAAAGTACATCAGACTCCATTAGCATCTGACTCTCAGGCAACAATAATTATTAAGAAAGCTGTCTACTAAAGTGACTTCAAAACTGCCTGTATGATGTCACTGAATTTCCATTAGATGGAACTCGTTTGGATTCAATTTGAACAATCCAAGCAGTCATATTTCTCTGAGTGGGATGGAGTTTATTATTAATGCCTCTCTTGCTAGCGATCTTTTAGGATTATAGACTAAATATGTTGGTATAATGAATCACAGACCCCTTATCACTTCACACAGTGAAATGATATGTAAACAAAAGAAAATATTCTATAAAATTACCATAATTTCTTTTTGGCAGAAACAAAAATCACAGAGATAAGACCATACTTTATATCAGGTACTTATATCAATAAGTACTTGCATTTGCTCTCATTACTTGGTAAAAAGAAATAATTTATGAAATGGTAGAATCATCCAGCTTTCATGAATAGTTGAAAGACATATTTTTAAAGAATAATTATTCCATAATAAATCAATAATGACTTTTATAGAAATAAAATTTAAAAGTAATTAAGGGGTCAGTTGCGATTATCATGAGTCCAACTTGCTGAGGAGTTAACTCTAAACATTTGTCTGTAGGAATGCATTAAACACCTTCTTCTTTAGAAATCACAATGTCTACTGTGATTTAGCTGGTATCAGAACTTGACTGGAACCCAAAGTAAAGTTAAAAATAAATTTGATCATAACGCCATCCAGAACTTAAGTTTAGGGTAGAAATTAGCTTTAAAGTGATCCTAGGTCATATTCGAGCTTAACAATAAAGACTAAAAAGAAGAAGATGTGATTCTGAAATAATTGTGGTGATGTCCCCAGTAACCACTGTGAAAAGGATCACTTTCTCCAGATGTTTCATCAGCAATTACCTTTCCTCGTGCCAGTCAGGTCTTGCTTGGCAGTAGGTTGAGTTGGCCTGTCAGCTGTTGAGAAGACCAAGATAAACAACTGAAGGCCAGTTAAAGGGTATTAGTTCCTTGAGTCACATTATTTTGTTTCCCTCCCACTTTTTAGCCAATAGGATGATGAGAGAAAGGAAAGATTTGATGACAGCAGGGTCACCTTTGGGCCAATCTTAGTTAATGAAATGCAGAGGAGGATGTAGAGTCATCACTCATAAAGCTTGCAGAAAGATTATTCATATCTTTTTAAAGAATGGATCTTTTTGTGTCTTATAAAGTAATATGGAATAATTTTTAAAATATTAATCGCATTGTTAATCAACTAATCCCATCTATTTGAACTGAAAACTGCTGTTGAAATGAAAAATAGCTAGCTACAATACTTTCACATTTTAATTATTTCTTTTGGTTTAAGAACCTAGATTTCAAGTGACACTACATCTGGTGTGGACTGTGATTGGTCTTCCTCCTTACAGAATTACAATTATTGATTTTTAAAAATTAGAAAATTGGTCATCTCACACATACTCAAGAGCACCTCCTTATAAGTTAAACCCCTATGTGAAACATTTTGATCAATATAAAGTGGGGAAACATTTGCATTGAGCGGCAGAGTATTTTCTCCCATATGCATTGACTAAATACTTATTGATTTATTATCCTTTTATGAATAAGCTTATTAAAAGATTTTTAAATTTCAACAATGTAAGTGAACCAATTTGAATAAATAATATTAAATTATTGAATTGGAGATAATTGTTCTGTTTTAAGGAAAGTCATTTTGACTTAGAGCATAAATCACAAACCCACTGACATTGTGAATATTTTGGCAAAAATAGCTCAACACAAATTTAGCTTAGATAATTCAGGAAAGAATATTTTCTTTTACTTGCTTTTCTCAAGAAATAATGTTAACTGTGACTTCATTTTGGTTGTGAAAGCCTGACCAGATTGAGGAATTTACAGGAATCAATGTAGAATGACCAGAGCACAAACAAGAAATAATATCAGCATTGTAGTAATGTCTGTGCTCCTGTCTGTTTCTTAGAACTATTGCATGTCTTAGAAAGTTAGAAACAATATTCTAAACCCGAGAATACTTATTTGGATTGGACAGAGTAAAATGAGATTCTCTGTTTCTCCGAATAGTTGGTTTCTGCGGATCAAAAAGAGATGACAGATTTTAAAATTCTTAAGGTAATAATACCAGCCATTCTATCTGAACTATTTAGTCACAGTGTTTTCCTTTGATTGTCAGGGTCCATGGTCCATAGGATTATTATGGTATCAGAAAATTGACATTTTAAAGTAAAAATTTGTATGCTTCAAAAGTCTTTGCCATATGTGCGAACCATTGAAAAAATACCATAAAATGCTCTTAAAAATAGTCAACAAACGATAGCAAACTGGAATATCAAAATTTTACTCTCCTATGACCAATTCTATTAAGGAATACACATACAAACTGTTTGCATTAGAAACAAAGCTCTTTTGGTAGTACGGTAGACAGCCACAACCCCTGTTTGTAGAGATTATTTAAGAAGAGAGTGCTTTCTCCTGAACACTTATAAAAAGACTGTTTTGAGATTGTGAGGAGACATTTGATGTCATCTGGAGCCTACAGTGAGTGTCATTATGACTTTAGCACTAGTACACACATAAATTTATTCCTCATTAAGTTTTAGTTTCCAAGGATTTCTGAAACCATTAAAAATACACAGATTTAAAAATACAAGGGATAATAAATTTATGTAAAGTCTTATTTCTCCAACATGATCCCAAGACCCCCTATAATCCTGTCCTATGTTTATTTCATTCTTGTCATTCTTGTTACCATTCAAAATAAACAGCCAGATCAACCATGATCTCTGTGTAGCCAAATCCAATGGTAGCTGCTAGATACTCTTCCCACTCTACATTTTAGCAACTCTTGGCATGGTGATTAGTTTTCCTGACTGGTAAAACTTTTTGACTTTTTCTTCTTTTTTTTTCTTCCCTTGAGTCACTTAAAGCTGCTCTTAGTTTCCGTTTTGGTTCTTCTTATTTTTCTCAAACTGTAAATTTAGGAGAACATTTAAAAATTCTTCCAGCATCCACTACCCCTCTATCTTTTCTCCCTCTATCTTTAATGTCTTTCTAGTTGATGTACTAAATTCCTGTAATCCTAAGTATCATCAATAGGCAATTGCCTTCACCGAACTCTAGATTCAAGTATCCAACAGCTATTTTAACATCTCTATTTGCATGTAAAATAGACATCTCCAAAAGATCATGAACAAAACAGAATATTTTATATCCAAACATACCCTGTTTCTCAACTAGTTCTCCATTAGTCTCTTTTATCCTTTAGTAAACAGTACTATGATACTACTAGTGGCTCAAGGGCCATCTAGTGACTCCTAGAGGTTATCTTTTCTCTCCTCCACACAACAACGTGTTAGAAGAATCATTAATTCTATCTTAGCAAATACACCATTTCCTAATCTGAACTTTGTTGCTTTAGTCTCAGCCACTGGCATGTTTTACCTGGAATTGTCCTAGTATTTCCCTTTCTGATCTCTACTTTCACTCTTATCACCCTATAATCATTTTTTACACAGTTATAAAAATGTTACTTTTAACATTTATCTGACATGATTATTCTTCTGCTTACATTCTCAGTGGATTCCTGTGCACTTAGAATACATTCAAACTTTACTAGGGACTGTTTCTAAATAATTTGGTTTCTCTTTATTCATCTTACCTTAACTTCTACCACCTTTTCTCTCACTGTATGCTGGTTTCGATGACCTTCCCGTTCCTAGAATGTGCCGTACTCTTTCCTATATCAGGAACTTCCACTTATATTCATGCTGCCTGGAATGTTCTTACCTCAATTCTTAGTAATGTCCCCTTTATTATTCGGGATTCACCTCTAATGTCTTCATTTCAGAGAAGCTTTCCTTGTCACTTTGTCTAAACAGTCACTTCTTCTTCATCACTTTATTATTTAACCTTTTATTTTCGTCACAATATATTACAATATAAATTAAAAAAACTTTTATGTGTTATTTGCTATTTTCTGTCTTTTTCTACTAGAAAATAATGGTCCCAGTTTCTAAACCTATGCCTAGCACATATTAGAGAACAATTTGTTGAGCAAATGATTAACTATCTGTGCTACTTGTTTAAGTTGCAAATTCCTGCCTAACCCGACAATAGAGTCAACATTGTCAAAACAGAATGTTCCTAGAAATGTAAATAACAGATAAGCAACTAAATAATATTTTTATGCAGCTCAAAGTTTTGGAATTACTACTTTCCTCTAGATGTGGCCAGAACCTAATCAAGAAGAACTTCTAAAGTGTGCAGGCATATTATCTGTTTCCCCTTGAATTCTAACTTACTTCATAGAAGAGCTAGAATATATGGATGAGGGATAGATTTTCTGGGGCTCTGTTTTCCTGTGAGTGTATTAGAACTGACCTTCCCCTGAATGCTGGGGAGGCTGGTCTCTAGCTGGGCTCTCATTTAGAGTGACCGCAATTAGAATTCAGTGTGTCCCTCTGCTCTTATTTGATTCCCATGCTCAAGTCTTGGATCCTTGAGGAAAAACTAGAAGCTTTCTTAAGTGACCATGGGGAGGATTTAATAGGTGATCCATGCCTTGCTATTCACCTTGCTCTATTGTTGTTAGTTGTCTTCAGCTCTCTTGGTTTGATGCCCACAGCTTTGGCCAGAGTTTCAACTCTGCCTGGGCATTACTGAATTGACATAGAACTCTAAATAAATACTGTCTCCTAGATATATTAGCTGGTTTCATAAGAAAATAACTCATCAGGTTATATTCACTCTGTATCTGCATGAAAAGTTGATTGAAATGTTATTTAGTGAACAAGAATATTATTAAGATGTTTATTTTATCTTTTGCTTCTCAGTTAGAGGTTGTTCCTAAAATTAATAGAATTTTATATATTTGTTAGAAATATATTCCTCTCATCTTTTGCTCTTTTATCTTTGTCCAGTGAAAATAAACATCATTCAAAATACCAATTTTAAACAAAATTAAAAAAAATGTAACAAACAAAATACCAATTTGAGTATAGAGCTTATCTAGTAAATATCTGTCGGGCATCTAACTTGTGCCTGTTTCCCTGTCAATAATCTATTTATGCATTAATATTCAACTCAAAGTCACCTGTGGGACCTTTCCTAATTTGTGTAGGCAGCTGGTTTCTCCGCTGCTTTGAAACAAAAAGCTCTGTAATTTTTTGGAGCATTTATTACATTTCTTGAAATTTTGTATATGTTTATCTCCCTTATCTAACTTGTAAGATCATTAACGAGAATCTTTTTTCCAAATCTCCAGTAATTAGCACAACAGTTGACAAAAAAATAAGAATAGTCATGCGCTGTTTAACAATGTCTTGGTCAATGCATGACTGTCTAGGATGGTGATCTCATAAGATTATAATGTAGCTGAAAACTCCTATTGCTAGGAATGTCTTGATGATCCTGGCCCCTTGTAGGCCTAGGCTAATATATACGTTTGTGTCTTGGTATTAAACAAAAAAGTTTAAAAGTAAAAAAAGTATATATATTTAACAGTAGAGAAAAACTGATAGAATAAGACCATAAAAAAGATAGTTGTATCTTTTTTGTATCTTTATATTCTAAAGATAATTTTGTATCTTTATTTATTATTGAAGAAAGAAAAATATATTTTCATAAATTTAGTGTAGCCTAAGTGTAGAGAATTTATAAGGTTTACAGTAGTGTACAGTAATGTCCTGGGCCTTCACATTTAATCGCCACTCACTGACCCACTCAGAGCAACTTCCAGGCCTCCAGGCTCCATTCATGGTAAGTACCCTATACAGTTGCACCATTTAAAAAATCTTTTATACCACATTTTTACTGAATTTTCTATGTGTAAATACACAAATACTTCCCGTTGTTTTATAATTGCCTATAGTATTCTAGAATGATATCCAAATCCACTGGGTGAAGGAGATAGCTGATTAATTTTAATAGAAATGAATCTAGTAGTTAAAAGTAAATGACAAGAGTTTTTTTTTTTTCTTCAGAAAATTATAATGACATCACATGAAGCAGATAAAAGATCTAATCTGAGAGTTAAGGAGGATGTCAGACTCTTAATGAAACAAAAAAGTGGGGTAGATTAGATTAGATAGTAGATTAGTGGCACAGTAGATTATTTGCACAGCTGGCTCTTCCAAATTTCAGAGCAGCCATTTGCCTTTGGCCCTTCTTTAGGGCTCTGATTGCCTTTGTTCTCTCTGCCCCTGTCTCTTATTCTCCCCCATCATGCAGTAGCCTCCAATATGTCAGCTGTAAGGTTAGGAAACAATGCCTATAAAATTAATTTACCAAATTATATTGATGACTGTTTGGTTTTCTTGCTGTCTTTCCCATATTTTACTTGGGATTACTGACTTTAATACCAATAAATACTTAAATGTTTGAGGTACCCTTAATCTCTAAAAGTGACCAAGGGAGACAGTCATTTCCCTGCTCAAGTGCCAAGTGGCTCATTAGGCAGACCTTGATTTGTAGCCAGCTATGGATGAATGGTGGCAGAATTTCCATTATTGGTGCTAAGGGTCTTAGCTATGAACAATTTAAACTTATGGTGGATAAACATAATCTTTATTCAAAGAGAATTTTTCTAATTTCCTGATAACTAACTTGTGGAGACAAAGGCAGTCACTGTGACCCACTGAAAGGCTTATTGTGCAAATAGAATCTTGTTGGATGACTTTCATCATATGCTGTAGGGCAGTTTATTTTTATAACCGCCTGCTACCTCTTCCTTCTCCAGGGATTGCTGAAGAGTGAAAACCAGTTGAGTGTTTATTATGGAATTTGTGGAAATTAAGAAACCAAGATATTTGCTTTCATGTTTATTAAACAAGACCACTAAAGATATTGACTAGAGAATGCTGTGTGCTATTTCAATTACATTTGTTTTTCTTTTGTTAATAGGAATTTTGATTCTTCAAGGAAGTGGCTCACATTTCATTTTAGGTGACCTGAAATAGATAACAAACATATGGTTATGAATTGCATTGGGTCATTTTCTCAAAAACATGTACATTTTCTGCATTTTAATAGCAAATATTGGCTTAAAAATATATTTAGTTCAAGGACTGGGAAACCATCTGCTCAAGAACATTGAGTAGATCTAAAAAGAAAGCAAAGGTCTTTAGTGCTAAGTATTAGCTGAAGGATATTTTTTTCCTTGAACAGTCCTCTGGGATCCAGTTTAATCTTCAGTATAGACTATCTCCCCTCAGTTTGTGTATTAATTGACACGCCATCCACTTTGTTTTTGGTATGATGAAATGATAGGGGTCACTGTTATAGCTGAAGCATGAAGCCTTTAAAATTTTACTATAATGTGATGCTTGAAAGCTAAATTTGGAGTTTTAGTATTAGAAAAATTACATGGTTCTCTAAGGACTAAGCTGAAATCTATTTTAAACTCTAGGCCAACTTCATCTACTATGATCTCAACCTTGGTTACTCTGAGTCAGTCCAAAATGCAGTTATTGACAATAGCATAAAGTGTTACAAATACTTTGTAAACAACATTTTAATAACATAGGGATTGTTTCTGTTACATCAAAACAAAGGAGGTATTTAAAGCACTATGCCGGTTAGATCTTGGAAGGACACGTAAGTATCTCTTAGTGGGCACACACGACAGTATCTAACAGAGAAAAACATTACAACAAATTGGAACTGAAGGAGCCAACTGGGGACATTGCTAGCATTTTTTCCCCTTGAAATTATGAATTCCAAACTGCAAACTTAAACGATGATTGTAACTATGTGTACTTACCACATATTTCATCTTCAATTTTATTCTGACTTTTCCTTCTTGTTTAATTTTTTGTCAGGAAGGGGAGTTGTAAGACGAGACTCACTTATTGGAATAGGAAAATTATTTCTAAGCCATGGATATCTTTGGTATCCTCGAAATGGAAATGGGAGAAATGGGTAAGGGAACACTAAAAACTCTGAAGATAAATCATCGCTGTCACTGATCTGTTGTAAGAAAAAATTAAAGAGTTTAGTTTGCTTTTTACAAAGAAGAGAAATAAAACAGTTTTGCTTTTTAAATAATGGGACTTCACTTTTAGGAAGAGGTTTTAGAAGCTGTAAAATTCTTTATTCTTTCTGTGTGTACTATGGACAGAAAGTTGATTAATTTGCATTATTTAAAAATTATTTAGAGATACTCATGTTCCTGTATCTTTCCACTTAAAGCTAAATATTTTCTGGCAACCACTTCTTTTACCTACAAGGCCAAGATAAATGTGGTGTTGAGGTGCCATAAAATGTCTCCCTTTGCCTTCATACAAGGTCTTTACCCAAACCACATGTTGGAAACAACTTCTCTCTTTCAGTATCTCAGTTCTTTCTTCCTGCTTTCCCTCTCAATTATCTGTTCCTATCTCTATTACTTTTGATATTCTTAACTCTCTGTTTGTAGTTTTTGTAATAAAATCATGCTTAAATAAAATCTCTATAAATAAAAACAAATCTTTAAGCAAGGCTTTCCCTCTTCAAATTTTATTTTCTTTTTGTTAAATAATTTTAGATAATTGTTTAGACCCAAATAATCCATGAGTGAATTTGCCACTGGGAGGATCATCAAAGCTGGCCTACATCTCTTAATGCTCGGGTTTCATTTTTTACTTTCTTTGAAATGGGTTTTATAGAGCTAAGGCAAAGTGGAGGCCTGAGCAGTTATGAGCCTTTATTAGTCTAGATAAATCCAGTAAAAAATATTGTAACCCAAATAATCACAGAGCAATTAAGATTTCAATCCAATTCTTACCATGACACGAGATGTGGAGATAATTCCCTTTCTATGAGCACAGCTCAAATCCCTGAAGTTTAAACCTCAGTTGAGTGCTAATAGGAATCTCTCCACTGTTTGGGAGGTGTAGATAAATGAATATCTTTAACAGCAGTTATGAGTATTTCACATGTAAAGCTTGCATGTAAAAAAGAGAAAAAGTAACTTACACTTCTTTTTTCTCGGTCCTGGTCTTCAGAGACCTAGAGGTAAAATAGTGAAATTAATTAAACTCATGTTTATGAAAACACACAAGTAAATATATATATACACATGAGGAAAATAATTTGACAATGTAATACCTAATATTGTTCCATATTAAAAATATCCAGACTTAGTCTAGAAAATGTAGAAATAATTTTCCTGAAAAGCCTTAATATGTATTCTTAAATGGCTGAAACTCATCACTACACCAAGGATATGTGGAACTGAATTATGCACTAAACAGTATATGACTTATAATATTTTCTGGAATATAATGATAAAAGGGCAGGTGTTAGGTATTCTTACAGAATACAATACATGAAGTAGAAAAAACCCTTAAGATTCATGAATGAAGGCAAAATATACAGTCATGCATTGCCTGACAACAGAGATAAGTTTGAGAAATGTGTAGTTCAGCCATTCCATCATGCAAACATCACAGAGTACACTTACACAAACCTAGATGTTATATCTATTACATACCTAGACTACATCTCTTGCTCCTAGACTACAAAATTGTGTGGCATATTACTTTCCTGAGTACTGTAAGCAGTTGTAACACAATGGTAAGTATTTGGATATAAAAAAAATCTAACATAGAAAAGGTACGGTAAAAAATACAGTGAAAATATGGAAAATGGTACACATGTATAGGTTACTTACCATAAATAAACCTTTTAGAACTGGAAGTTGCTCTGTGTGCGTTAGTGAGTGGTGAGTGAATGTGAAGGCCTAGGACATTAATGTTTACTCCTGTGGACTTTGTAAACACAGTACACTTATGCTACACTAAACTTATGAAAGCCTATTTTTCTTCCTTTGATAATAAATTAACCTTATCCTTACTATAACTATTTTACTTTAACTCTTTTGTAATAACACTTAGCTTAAAACAAACTGATTTTACAGCTGTACAAAAATACTTTCACTCTTTATATGCTTTTGACTCTTTCTTTTTTACTTTTAAACTACTTTGCTTAAAACTGAGACACAAACATACACATTAGCCTAGGCCTACTCAGGGGCAGGCTCATTGATATCACTGTTTTCCACTTTCACATCTTGACCTACTGGAAGGTCTTCAGGGGCAGTAGCACACATGGAACTATCATCTCCTATGACAATAATGCTTTCTTATGGAACATACTGAACAACCTGCCTGAGGCTGTTTTACAGTTAACTGTAAAAACATAGTAGAATGAATAAACTCTATAATAATGATAAAAGCATAGTACATTAAATACACAAGCCAGTAACATAGTTGTTTATTATCAGTATATTATGCACTGTGCATAATTTTTGTGCTCTACTCTTATATGAGGGGCAGAGAGTAGGTTTGCTTACCAGTATCACCTCAAACACATGAAACACATGACTTAGTGCACTGCCCTATGACATTATGATGGCTACAATGTCATTAGGTGGTTGGAGTTTTTCAGCTTCATTATAATCTTTTTTTTTTTTCTTAAGAGATGGGGCTTGCTATGTTGCCCAGGCTGGTCTTCAGCTTGTGGGCTCAAGTGATTCTCCTGCCTTGACCTCCTAAATTACAGGGATTACAGGCATAAGCCACTGCACTTTGTAGCTCTGTCATAATCTTATGGGACCATCCTTGTATGTGTGGTTCCTGGTTGACAGAAATATGCAGTATATGTCTCTATATAAATATGTTGGAATGTACAAATGGATACTTACTGGGAAACCAACAGCCACTGCCAAGATGGCTGTGATCAGAAGGAGAACTTTCTTCATCTGCAAAACGGAGCAATTAAATAAAATAAAAAATAAGAACTTTCATTTTATTCAGAAATATCCTAGAAGTCAGCAAAAGACCACGAATTCAAAAGATCCAGTTACAGTACGAATTTTTTAACCAATAGCTCTTTGAGTTTGAGCAAGTCACTTACAGTCTTAGAGCATCAATCTATTTGCTAACAAAGAACTTTTTTTAGGTCAAATCTAAGGAGCTCTGTAATTTCACAAGTATATTACACCAATTGGTTTAAAAATAAACATTCACATATTAAGAATAATAATTCCCATGTAACAAAACTATATGTGTATTCCTGAACTTAACATAAAAAATAGAAGAATACTTCTATGTACTTGATAATGAAAGTAAAGTTTCTGGAAGATATAATGCCTTGGTGTGTATAGATAGTGTTAGTTTGGAAGTAAGCAGTTACTTAGTGGTCTTCGAGAGTCTACATGAAAGTAATGTAGGTGACACATTTATTTGCACTGGTTCTAGGCAACCCCCAAAAATCCATAATGTGAAGAAAGATCTTTTCTCATGCCTGCTAACGTAAAATCCATCCTGCAGTCCAGGGATCAAAGACTTCATTTTAACTTGCAAGTTGTATTATTTAATGAATAATAAAGGACTTTTCCAAAGCATTTTATTGTATTTTAATTTTCACTGTAGATTTCTTATATCACACACAGTGTTAAAATGTATCAGTTACAATATTGTTAATATTATATTTGAGAAAACTGAGCTAAATTAAAGATTCATTCAAAATTATACAATAGAGTATACAGTAAAATACAGAATTTTGCATTTAAAAATATTTATTATTAATACAATAAGCTTGTATATATTACTTGATTTCAAATAATGGTGGGAAATCTTCTGTATGGAATGCCATCATTAGGCATTAGTCCTCTTTGCTGTGGTGTGAATGCATTATATACTAAAGACTATGTGGGGGGATCTGGGAAAGACAATCAGGTTGAAAGTGGCCAATTTCTTGAAGTTTCCCTATATTCATTAATTTATTAGTTTATAACATTTTTCTTGATAACTGACTGTGAGACATTTTTCTAGGTGTTGTCTATACACAGGTGCACCTCTTCTTATTGTACTTCATAGATAGTTGTATTTTACTGATTGAGAGACAATTTGTGGCAATCTGGCATCCAGCAAGTCTATCAGCACCATTTTTCCAACAGCATGTGCTCACTTCGTGTCTCTGTGACATATTTTGGTAATCCTAGCAATATTTTACAGTTTTCAGTATTATAAGATACCTTAATATCTGCAAGATATTATTATAAAGCTATAATAAGATTTTATTATATCTTCTATGGTGGTCTGTCATCAGTGATCTTTGGTATTACTTTGATCTAATTATTTTGGGGTGTTATGGCAAAAATAAATGGCACACTTATTTGATAAATGTTGTATATGTTTTGATTGCTCCACTGACTGGCCATTCCCCCCGTTCTCTTTTTCTCTCCTAAGGCTTTTTTATTTCCTGAGATACAAGAAAATTAAGCTTGGACCAGTTAATAACCCTACAATGTCCTCTAAGTTTTCTAGTGAAAGGAATAGTAGCATGTCTCCTACTTTATATTAAAAGGTAAAAACGATTTAGTGAAGAAGGAATATCAAAAGCCAAGATAAGCTGAAAGCTAGGATCTTGCAACGACTAGTTAGTCAAGTTGTGAATGCAAAGGAAAAGTTTTGAAGGAAATTAAAAGTGCTACTACAATGAACACAGGAATGACAAGAAAGCGAAAGAGTCTTGTTTCCATTATGGAAAAAGTTTTAGTTGTCTGGATAGATCAAACCAGCCAGCACATTCTCTTAAGCAGGAGCCTAATATAGAGCAAGGCCTTAATGCCCTTTAATTCTATAAAGACTGAGAGATGTGAAGAAACTGCACAAGAAAAGTTGGAAACTAGCAGAGGTTGGCTCATGATATTTTAAACAAAGAAGTCTTCTCTGTAACACAAAAGCACAAGATGAACAAAAAACATGGATATAGAGGGAGCAGCATTATCCAGAAAATCAAAGAACACTGATGAAGGTGTCTACAATAAATAATAGATTTTTAATATGGATGAAACAGTCTTATTTTGCAAAAAGATGCCATCTAGAACTTTCATAGCTAAAGAGAAGAAATCAATGCCTGGCATCAAAATTTCAAAGGACAGGCTGACTCTATTTAAGGGATATAGCTGGTTTCTTAAATTGAAGCCAATGGTCATTTATCATTTCAAAAATCGTAATGCACTTAAGAATTATACTAAATCTATTCTGCCTGTGCTCTGTGGATGGAACAACAAAGCCTGGATGGCAGTACATGTAATACAGCATAGTTTACTGAATCTTTTCAGCTCTCTTCTTAGGAAAAAAGATTTTTTTTTTTTTTTTGCAAAATACTACTGTTCATTGACAGTGCACCTGAACTCCCAAGAACTCTGAAGCAGGTGTACAAAGAGATGAATGCTGTTTTCATGCCTGCTAACATAACATCCATTCTGTAGCCCGTGGATCAAAGAGTAATTTTGACTTTCAGGTTTTATTATTGAATGAATACGTTCTGCAAGGCTGATAGCTGGCACAGATAGTGAGTTCTTTAATGAATATGGGTAAAGTGTAAATTAAAAATGTTCTGTAAAAGAGTCACCACTCTAGATGCCATTAAGACCATTTATGACTCATAGGAGACCAAAATATCAACATTATAGGAGTTCGGGAGAAGTTGATTCTGATCTTGTAGATTTCTTTGAGGGATTCAAGGCTTAAGTAGAGGAAGTAACTTGCAGATGTGGTGGAAATAACAAGAGAACTAGAATTAGAAGTGGAGTGTGAACATGTGACTTAATTGCTTCAATCTAATGGTAAAACTTGAATGAATGAAAAATTGTTTCTTATGGATGAGCAAAGAAAGTGGTTTCTTGAAATGGAATCTCCTGGTGAAGATGCTGTGAACACTTTTGAAATGACAGCAAAGGATTATTTTAAATACCAGATAATCTAATAATTTTGAGAAGACAGGAATGTAAAATTCCAGTCAAGTTCTGCCTTCAACAGGCAGATTGTTAGTGTAGGAAATCAACAGTAAAAATTAAACAAACACATACACATGCATACACTCACACATACCCCTCACAGAACACATACTACATTGTCTAGTTTCTATGTGCAAAGCATTGTTCTGGGAGTTTTCAAGAATGCAATGATAAAGCATAATTTCTTCCATATGAGACTTCCATATGGAAGACAGATATAAATTATTTCTGTACAGTAAAACAAAGCATGATGTATACCATATGTAGAAATTGCAAAACATTGAGAGTATTTAGAAGAGAGACAGGTGGAGGAGATAGTTTTGGAAAGGATAGAATTCAAGGAGGGAGTTTACAATATAATTTCTTTCAGCTGGCTTTAAGAAGTATTCAAAAACACATTAAGCAAAGAAGTAAATAAACCACATCACAGACTCTTCCAGATCATATCTGGGAGTCAGGACATAGCATAATTACCGGCTATGTCCTTTTATTTTTATACTTATCAAGTCATGATACCCACAGCAGTTTATTGCTGTGTGATGTAGTATAATACTTCAGATAAATCAAATGCATCTTCCTGGAGAATTTTATTCAAGAATTTACAGGAAAGGCAAATAACTTTTACATTAAAATCAACATAAAAAGTTATAGAATGGAATGTAAATACTGCATATATTTTAAAGATAAAAGTGGAGGCCAAAGCAATTGGCCGTATCTCAGACTTTGGAGACTCTCTGGCGGTGCATGTTCCCTCTCTTTGCTGACCTGATAACACAAAGTTTAAAATAAACCTGAGGCTGTGTTCTCATTCTGTCCGCACTCTCTCCCACCAGTGCTCTACTCCTGCAAAGATTCATTTATGGTCACTCTAAAATAAATATTTACTACAGCAGGATGATGTTTAAAAAATGTTTTGCAAACATAATACTAAAAATGATTTTCTAAGTCTACAACTTTAAGCAACCATTAAATGATAATCTCAATAATTTTTTATAGTTTATGGAAAAATATATGAAGAGATCTATATATATCTATATTTATAAAATAGATATGCAATCTTAGTTTACAATAATATTTAAGACCTTTCTTACCTCAAACTTTTCAGTCAGTTCTTTCTCTCTGAGGCTGTTAGGAGAAATGGCAAGTGACTGGCCCTGGAATATTACAACTGTTTTATATACTCAAAGGTATAATGGAATGAAGAAATCTGTGGTTTGAAGGCCTCTCTCCTAGGATCAATTATTACTCATCAGCTATCACAATATGTTGAAATTGGGAAATAACCAAAGTTTAGTTTCATGGAAACTACTTAACCAAATACCAAAATCTTTTTTTTTTTAATTTTCTCCAGATTTTGAGTCTTGTATATTTGAGCTTATCACTTTACATGTTGCTGCTCCATTCTCTACTGTCACAATTTTTTCCTTTGATTTCCATAATTTAAAATACCTCCAAGCATCTTACTGGTACTGATTATAATCTGGTAGTGCTGAAATTTTAAGAAAATAAAAAAATCTAAATATTGTTAAAGATGAGATTAAAATCTTTTGCATGATTCTGCTTTCAGCTTCTTAATTTCAGTTATTAGAATTAGAGCTTCATAGATGAGTGAATTGTCTTTTTGGAGCATTACAGCATCTTGTTTATCTTATAGAACACTGTACTCTGTTTTCCAACTGAAAATTCACTTACAACACAAAGAATATAATCATTAAGTGCTGGACTCTAAACCAGAGCCCAGACATTCAAGAATTACCGTAACTATGCATGCACATTGTATATGTCATTGTAAGGAGTCATAAAATTTGAGCTTTAACTCGTTTGAGAGCTTTCAAGAATATTGTATTATTGAATTCAAATTTCTGCTTCAAAAGACGTTATATAGTCCAGATTGTAAGAGTAGTGTGTGAAAGTCCCTTTTCTTCTTTTTATTTTTTTCTAGAAATTGGTTCTTAAGGGAACTCAGAAAAATAATTCAGCTAAGCTTTTTTTTGAGGATTTTAAGCACTGAAGCACAAATTTAAATGCTTTATATATATAATATAATACAATCCCCCAAACAACCACCTTATGAGGAAAGTACTAAGAGCAACACCATCTTATTTTGAGACTGAGAAGCAGAGAATATTAGTAATCAGTGTGGGTATTATAACTAGTCTCTGGCAGAGTTGGAATTGAGCACCAGCACCAGTTGGTTCTAAAACCCACATTTTTTTTTATTATTGTACTTTAATTTCTGGGGTACAAGTGCAGAATGTGCATATTTGTTACATAGTTATACACGTGCCATGGTGGTTTGCTGCATCCATCACCCTGTCATCTACATTAGGTATTTCTCCTAATGCTATCCCTCCCTAACCTCCCATCTCCTGACAGGCCACAGCGTGTGATGTTCCCTTCCCTGTGTCCATGTGTTCTCGTTGTCCAAGTCCCACTAATGAGTGAGAAAATGCAGTTTTTGGTTTTCTGTTCTTGGGTTAGTTTTCTGAGAATGATGGCTTCCAGCTTCATCTATGTTCCTGCCAAGAATATAAGCGCATCCTTTTTTACAGCTGCATGGTATTCCATGGTATATATGTGCCACGTTTTCTTTATCCAGTCTATTATTGATGGGCATTTGAGTTATCTCCAAGTCTTTGCTCTTGTGAATAGTGCTGCAATAAACATGAGTGTGCATATGTCTTTATAATACAATGATTTATAATCCTTTGGGTATATCCCGGTAATGGAATTGCTGGGTCAGTTGGTAATTCTAGTTCTAGCTCCCTTAGGAATCACCACTGTCTTCCACAATGGTTGAACTAATTTACACTCCCACCAACAGTGTACAACTGTTATTTCTCCACATCCTCTCCAGCATCTGTTATCTCCTGACTTTTTAATGATCACCATCCTAACTGACATTGGATGGCATCTCATTGTGGTTTTGATTTGCATTTCTCTAATGACCAGTGATGAAGATGAGCTTTTTTTCATGTGTTTGTTGGCTACATAAATGTCTCATTTTGAGAAGTGCCTGTTCAATATCCTTTGCCCACTCTTTGATGGAGTTGTTTGTTTTATTTCTTGTAAATATGTTTAAGTTCTTTGTAGATTCTGGATATTAGCCCTTTGTCAGATGGGTAGACGGCAAAAATTTTCTCCCATTCTGTAGGTTGCCTGTTTACTCTGATGATAGTTTCTTTTTCTGTTCAGAAGCTCTTTAGTTTAATTAGATCCCATTTGTCAGTTTTGGCTTTTGTTGCCATCGCTTTTGGTGTAAAACCAACCTTTTAAACTAGTGCCGTATACTGCCACTGTAACATAAAGTTAAAAAAATCAGCACAAAGCAGGAGAAACATCAAACTTTCTTTAACTATAACTTAACATTTAATCTTATTTCAGTGATTTAAAGAAAACAGCCTGAAGAAACTTAATATATTAAACCTGGAAATTTATTGTATATTGGTTTCTATTTTGACCAATTTGGGCTCATAGTACATTTCCTCAGGGCTGGGGATGACAAGTGTGTGTGTGTGCGTGTGTGTGTGTGTGTGTGTGTTCATGAAGTATCCACTGCCTTACCTAAAGCCTGTCTTTCAGTTTATTCTACTTCAATTTATTTTATCTTAAATTTCTCTAATGGAGATTGTCAATTGCCACTGAATTCTGAAAACCATAAATGATTTTCTGTCCTTGAGTTACTTCACTTCTTTTAATATTTAACTGTGACTCTTCCCTTTTAGAAATCTAGTTTTCTCTTCCTTGGCTTTGTTAAGCCAATTTTTCATGCTCTTTTTTTTTCTAGTAGCAACAATAGTCTTATTTTCTGATTCACTTTCCTTGATTTATTATATGTGACAATTTCTCTCTTTAGTCTTCACTCTCTCTTATAATCTACTTCTGACTCTTTAAGCTATGCCTTCAGCTAACTCTTCTCTAATTACTCCGAGTCTTGTATCCAACTGAATAATCCATTTAGAAGTTTGATGGTACATCAATCCAACATATTGAAAACCTAGCTTACTATTTTTCCCTCTTAATATCATCCTCACTTTTATTTAATCTCTCAGCTGATGATCATCAGTCACTCGTTTATCCAAGCAAGAAATCTAAGACTCATCTATTTTCTTCTTGTGTCTTCTCTTCCACATCAAATGGTCATTAACTTTTTCCTTCTTGTCATGCCCTGAAACAAATCCCTTCCACATTCTTTGTGTTTTCCTTAGTTTAGGTTCTCATTCTCTCCTATAGTGTCACACAGTAGCCTCTTAATTAGAGTCCCTGTCTCTAGTATTATTTTCTTCAATCTATCTTCCTCAGTAATGCTACAATGATCCTTAAAGTGATTTTCAAAAATTTAAAAATTAAAGCTGCAGTAAAAAAAGGCATTATGTATCAAAACTCAGTACACACACACACACACACACACACTGAGACAAGGGTTTAATAAAATATTTTTTCCCTTGTTTACATGAGGAACATACTGAAATTTAAAATTTTTTAGCTGAAGGCATAGCCCCTATCTTATTATAAATAAATATGTTAGTTAACTAACATATTAAGTTGTAAGTAGTAATTGAATACAAGCAGTATCAGGTGGGAGTAATTATACTTTCTGGTTGGCGATCTGGTAATGTGACCTCCAAATAACCTCCAAGTGTTGTCTAACAAGCTGTAGTCCTAGCTGAATTATGCAGTAGAAGCTGCTGTTGCTTTCTTGTGTTAATGTTAATTCAAATGGCAAGAATGCAAAATATGGAAAAGACTAACAGGATAAAAGCTATAGCTACAAAAGTCCCCTCTGCAAATACTTCAGCACATGGTTGCTCTTAAAAGGGCAAGGGCAATCAAAGGAACAGAAATCAGGATGTTTACTGGAAAGAAAAGTTGTGGGTGGTTCCATAGGAAAGAAGTTGAACATGTCATATGAAAAAATTCATAGGTTTATTTTGCGGGTAATCAGATGGCAGAAATTAAAACTAATATATTAAGGTATTAAAATACTCTCTATAAGAAAAAACTTATTTTTAAATTGCATTTTAGGTTTTGGGGTACATGTGAAGAACATGCAAGATAGTTGCCTAGGTACACACATGGCAGTGTGATTTACTGCCTTCCTCCCCTTCAGCTATATCTGGCGTTTCTCCCCATGTTATCTCTCCCCAGCTCCCCACTCCCCACTGTCCCTCCCGTTTCCCCCAACAGACTCCAGTGTGTAGTGCTCCCCTCCCTGTGTCCATGTGTTTCATTGTTCAACACCCTCCTATGAGTGAGAGCATGCGGTATTTCATTTTCTGTTCTTGTGTCAGTTTGCTGAGAATGATGTTCTCCAGGTTAATCCATGTTCCTACAAAGGACACAAACTGATCATTTTTGATTGCTGCATAATATTCCATGGTGTATATGTGCCACATTTTCCCTGTCCAGTCTATCATCAATGGATATTTGGGTTGATTCCAGGTCTTTGCTATTGTAAACAGTGCTACAATGAACATTCGTGTGCATGTGTCCTTATAGAACGATTTATAGTCCTTTGGATATATACCCAGTAATGAGATTGCTGGGTCAAATGGAATTTCTATTTCTAGGTCCTTGACACCTTACACTAAAATTAACTCCAGGTGGATTAAAGACTCAAACGTAAGACCTAACACCATAAAAACCCTAGAAGAAAATCTAGGCAAAACCATTCAGGGCATAGGAGTAGGCAAGGACTTCATGACCAAAAAACCAAAAGCATTAGCAACAAAAGCCAAAATAGACAAATGGGACCTAATGAAACTCCACAGCTTCTTCACGGCAAAAGAAACAGTCATTAGAGTGAATTGGCAACCAACAGAATGGGAAAAAATGTTTGCAGTTTACCCATCTGACAAAGTGCTGATATCCAGAATTTACAAAGAACTAAAACATATTTACAAGAAAAAAACAAATAAGCCCATTCAAAAGTGGACAAAGGATATGAACAGACACTTTTCAAAAGAAGACATACATGAGGCCAACAAACATATGAAAAAAGAAAAAACTTTTTAAAGAGTGAGAACATCCATCTATGCAGATATTCAAGGAGAGGATAGGTATCCACAGGCTGAATTATAGCAGAGGGGATTTTGTGGAGTCATTGAAATTTATTAGATGAACTTTCTGTACCCTTTCAGCCATAATATTCTCAGACTGGGTGTTATGAGGAAAAGAATTATCTACTGGAAGAGGTTAAGCAACTTACTAAATCCAAAGGCACCATC